ATTAAATCGTATTAGAGAGGTACAACATTGGCTAACTGGAGAACCCCATAGGCTGATGTTGTGCAAAGGGGTCTGAACATAAAGCTTGCAGCATTTATTTAATCACCTGTAAAAGAGAAGAATATCATTTTTAAATCTGTGTGTTAATGGAGTGTATAAATGTAAATACAAAGCTATTACTCACCTATACAACTCCTTTCTCATGTGTCTCAAATTGTATTGATTGCGTTAAGAAAATGAATGGTTGTTCCTTACAAGCACATCTATTCATGTCTGCTAGAGTTGAGTTTCAGTCTTAAATTGCTACTTTCTCTCTGCAACTTGTACCCAGATTTATTTGTCCCTTACCAAGAAGACCAGGGAGGTCTCAGAGTGGACATTGATATACCTATAAAATTTCATGTAACTGAATCATTTGCAAAGCTTGAATTCCAAGCTGTAAAGATGCATTAGCAGCTTTTGCATAATTGCTAAGGGGAACTGGTTTTAAATTTTGTGCTGATATTGTTTAAACTTTTTGACTATGTTTGTGAGCTTTCCTTCTCATTCGTGGTTTGTCCTGCGTTTTCATTTTTGCCTTTTCTGAATGCTGTGCTATAGTTCTTGGAACATATAACAACATACATGTTTAACACTATTTTGAGAGAAAATATGCATCAAAATGCAAATATTCTTATAAAAGAAATAATTTGATTTGGTTATGGTAATTTATTCTGGATGTTCTGATTTTATAGCTTTATTATTTTATATTTATGTTTTAATTACTCTACTTTACATCACCTTTATATTTTTTAATGAATAGGCAAACTTATAAATAATGTCTGCGGCATTAGATACCCCTTCTAGTTTGGCATAATCTGCAAAGTTGATGGACATCCCTTCAATTCCTTCATCCAAGTAATTTATAAAGACACTGAACAACAACAGACCCAGGAGAGAACTCCGTGGCATCCCACTTGTCACTTTTCCCAGGATGATGAGGAACCATTAATGAGTACACTTTGGATTCAGTCAGTCAACTATCTACAAATCCACCTAACAGTTACCTGGTTCAACCCACATTGTACCAGCTTCTCCACAGTAATATCATGGGGGACTTGGTCAAAAGCCTTACTGAAATCAAGATACACTACACCCACAGGATTCTCCTGAGCCACCAAGATTGTAACTCTATCAAAAAAAGAAATGAGGTAAGTCTGGCATGACTTGTTTTTGAGAAACCCGTCTTAGCGATCACAACACTTTTCTAAGTGTTCACAGACCAACCATTTAATTATCTGTTCTAGCACCTTTTTCTGGTATTGATGTCAAGCTGACCGGTTGGTAGTTACTTGCGTCTTTTCCCCCACCTCACATTTTGAAGAAGGGGACAACATTTGCCCACCTCCAGTCTGCAGGGACCTAACTTGTTCTCCAAGAAAGATCACAGGCAGAGGCTCATTTTGCATTCAAATCGCATGTTCTACCATTGAGCTCTTATCCACCAGAGGAAAGAATCAACGACTTTTCCAAGTGAGAGTCCCACAATGAACCTTTCTTGCAGTTACATCCCCCACCCAATCAACTGTAACATATTTCAGCATGTCAGGAAGAACAATCCACAGATAACCTTATTCAAACTATTTATTTAAATATAAATATGTCCACATGGGGACATATTGAGTGTAGGTCATACTAAAGAAGTGACGATCTAAATATGGGAGCAATAAGCAGTGTTTGGCTGTCAGTGGGCTTCAGCTACAGATCTAGCTCTTATTTGAAGAAAGATTTGCAGGGTTAGAAGTGGCTTAATGAAATCTTTAAACTGCTCAGTTCAGAATCTTCAGCAGTTAATGAGACACACACACTTGAATTCCAAGTGAATCCTGAGGGAGCCTAAGCAGCTACCATATATTTATTTTCATAGAGCAATTTGTGTAAGGTATAAAGGTTTTTGTAAGGTCAAAAATGAAATAATACATGGCAACCTTCATCAACCTGGTATCCTACAGCTATTTTGGACTACAAATCCCATCAGCTCCAGCCAACACTGCCACTTCCAAGGAAGCCCCTTTTAAATTCCAACACAGTACATAATGGAGCTGATAGATCCAAAATGGACTCCAACAAGCTTATCCTGCCCTCTCTCCCATAGAAAAGCTATCTCCTTCCACCTGCTTTTGCTACTTGTTTTATCTGCAGTGATGGTGCACCTCATCCTTTTATTAAAGGAGAGGAGAGGAGGAGGAGGAGGAGGAGAAGAAGAAGAAGAAGAAGAGGAGGAGGAGGAGTTTGGATTTGATATCCCGCTTTATCACTACCCGAAGGTGTCTCAAAACGGCTAACATTCTCCTTTCCTTCTGTGAAGTGAGTGGGGCTGAGAGACTTCAAAGAAGTGTGACTAGCCCAAGGTCACCCAGCAGCTGCATGTGGAGGAGCAGAGACGCGAACCAGGTTCACCAGATTACGAGTCTACCACTCTTAACCACTACACCACACTAGAAGGCTAGCTTTACAATGGCAAGATAATCTCCCCACTACGCCATGGCGATCATGCAGCCTTCCATTACATGTGTGTTTGCATGTTTGCAGACGTCGACTGGCAATATTAACCTAGCAAGAACTTAGCATGTATACAATACTGTATAATATTTTAAATGATTCATACAGTTACATGCTACCCCAATTTCCAAGTGGTGAGAGGCTCCGGAGGTTCCAGCGCTTACCAAGTTTCCTTGGAATGGAAGGTAAGTGGAGACTGTGGAGCCTTTAGGGTATTAAATTTTATTTACACACACATAGAGCATATAACCTGAGCATATGATGGAGGGGCTCACAGCATTAACACCCCCAAAAGATCTTGCTTTCCCATCAGTCTCAGCTTTGGACCCAGTACAGAGCAAGCATGTCTCTGTGTCTCCAGCTTCCAGACTGTTTCTAGCTCAGTCCTCACACACTACTCTGGCTATTGTTCTCCGACCTACATAGTAGCTGGGTGGAGTGGGTGGAGGAAAGGCGCATCCATTAGCCTGATGGAGGGCACCATCACTTAGTCTTGTAACCTAGCTCATTCTTTTGGGATGCCATGAGGGTACTAAAGCAACCAGCTAAGGTCACTGTCTTACAAAGAAACTTGTCTGGCCAGTTTAGCAACTTTCTCTAACCCTCACTGAGTACAGGAACTCAAGAACTGGAAGGTACAGTCATACCTTGGGTTGAAGTAGCTTTGGGATAAATATTTTCGGGTTGCACTCTGCGGCGACCCAGAAGTAACAGAGCGTGTTACTTCCGGGTTTCGTCGCTCGGGCATGCACAGATGCTCAAAATGACGTCACGCACATGCACGGAAACAGCGAATCGCGACCCACGCATGCGCATGGAGCGTTCGCTTCAGGATGTGAACGGGGCTCCGGAACGGATCTCGTTCGCATCCAGAGGTACCACTGTATCAGCCAGAATGACCCCTCCTCCCCAAAAAATCCTAGCAATATACACTGCAGCAAACCTTTCAAGACCTTCTGGAAGGTAAATCAGTACTACTGTCCCCTTTAAAGTGATGGTGGGTCTGAGAATCAAGGATGACAGTTTGCCTACGGTTGCCTAATGAGCTTATGGTATTTCTGGGCTTATAGCAGTGTGAACAGAAGAAGAGCTCTGCTGGATCAGGCCAAAGGCCCATCTAGTCCAGCTGTTCTCACAGTGGTCAACCAGATGCCTATGGACAGTCCACAAACAGGAGCTGGGCACAACAGCAATTATTAATTCCAGTCAGTCAGGATCCAGAAGCATATTGTCTCCAGCACAAAGGCTTCTAGCCATCGATAACTATCCCCCATGGTTCCCTGACCCCCAAATCCTCTTTTAAGGCTACCCAGGTTAGTAGCCAACAATATCAAGTTGGAACAAATTCCATAGTTTAACTATGCACTGTGTGAAGATTTGCTTTCTTTCATCTGTTCTGAAGCTTCCAGGACTCAGCTTCATTTCGATGTCCCTGGGTCCTAGTAATATGAGAGAAGGAAGAAAACTTTCCAGTGCACTACTGGTGTTGCATCTGAGCGTGCAGGAATGTAGTGCTAATAAAAGCACTTTTATCATCTTGAATGACTCTCCAGGTATCATGTTAGCAGCCTCCACTTTAAAAGAAAATAAGATTAGATTAATCTCCTATCCTTTAAGGAGGAAAACATTTTATCTCTAAAACAGAGAAGACTAAAGAGAGAGGTTGTGCATTTCATTTGTCTTGAAAAGTAAATTATACCCAAGCTTTTTAATAGGCCTTGTGGATAACTATATTAACAACTGGTAAGAAATAAATTATGAATAAAAATGCAATTACATGTTACATTTCTGCTTGAATAAGGGACAATAAAAAAGGCTAGTGAAGAAGCAAGTGACATTAAGAATAAACAAAGCAGTCCAGCCCGACGCTTTTGTAACCCATAAGTCTGTTCCTACATTCATCTGCATTATATAAATATGACTGCACAAAAGTTACAATTCTCAGAGGATAATAGTATTTTGAATTACATACCTACAATATGGAATTTGACAATAGGACAAGGTAAATGGATTCTTTATGCCCTTACTATGACCCAAAGACTGATATTGCTGCACTGGAAAGATAAATGTGCCCCTTCATTTGATCTATGGATTGAAGACATGACTACACTTGCCACTTATGAGCAGATTGCTTATAAATGTGGACTTTACATGGACACGTGTGTGTGTGTGTGTGTGTGTGTGTGTGTGTGTATTTGGATAATAACAGCAACTATATATTAGATAAGTACACTGATAGCTCAGGTGGTTAGAGGTTCTGATAATGCCAAGGTTGCAGGTTCGATCCCCATATGGAACAGCTGTGTATTCCTTCATTGCAGGGGGTTGGACTAGATGATCCTCACGGTCCCTTCCAGCTCTACAATTCTATGATTCTATGGAATTGTAATGGTTCATGCTTATAGGGATATAGTATACCTTTCTTTTCTTTTTTCACATTTTTACTTTTAATTTTTATTCCATGAAGTGTTGCTTTAAAAATACTATTATTATTTTTTAAATGTGGGCTCACTATATATGCCTACTTAACTAGTTGGACTTGCAGAACTGCAATTGTTACAGGTGCCACATGATACTCAGTCAATACATGTAAGAAATGGATCATTAATGTACCTACACACATTGCAACTCTGCCTAGTGACATCAGAAAGATGCCTTTATGGTACTGTTTTCAGTGCCTGCTTATAACATTTTTCTTTCAGCAAGCCCATCCAGGCATGCAGATGTTTCATGTGTTTCAATCTCTTTTTGCTTACTGTTGATTAATTTTTGAATGTTTTTAAATACCTGTTTTTAAGTTTCCTTTGTGGATTTGTGTGTGTGTATAAACTGCTTAGAAGTTTTATCGCAATCAAGCAGTGTACAAATGCTGTGAAATAATAATCACAATGATTATTATTATTATTAAAATCCTCATAAAATGCAATTAAATGCAACTTTTTAAAGCATATTTTCCTCAAGATGTGCATTTTGTAACATGTTGATACGTTTTCTGCACCAAGAACTGCAAAAGCCAGACAATAACTAAAATCCAATCCACCCATTTGTCTAAAAGAGGTGCAGGTCAACTCACTTCCACTTGGAATTCGCAAAAAACCCCGAATCTGTCTCGAGCATCCCTGAGCAACATAACCCTTGCTGCAGAAATGGTTTCCAAAGCGCATTTCTTATTAAATGTCTGAGTACACTCAATATACTCTAAGCTGTTTCCACTAGCTGGGTTGATTTGAAAGAGAGAGAGAAATATATCCCAAGATGTAACTATAACAACAAAGCATATTTTAATTTCGATGCTATTATGAAGAACAAGCATTTGTCTGATCAGCAGTGACAGCTGAAGAAAACATTATGTTACAGTGAAGAAATATTTTTCCAGGCCATCAACTGGAGCATAATGTTAAATTCCTTTTTTAAGAGAAAAAGTGCACACACTAAGGGTTTTTCCTTTTGTAGCCACCTTGGACATAACATTTATAACTGTTTAGTAAATACGTTCATTTTTGGAACCCCCTCCCATCAGATGTCAAGGAAATAAACAACTACCTGACTTTTAGAAAACATCTGAATGCAGCCCTGTTTAGGGAAGTTTTTAATGTTTGATGTTTTATAGTCTCTTTAATATTCTATTGGGAGCCGCCCAGATGGGTGGGTATAAATATTATTATCATTATTATCAACAAGGCTGTACAAAACCCTCTTTCCACTTTTTTTTGGGGGGGGCGCACATGGAAGGTGGGAGAGAAATCCTGGGAGATTCTGGGGTCGGGGGGACAGATGTTCTCTAGCTTGAGGCAACCGCATTATTTACTAACTGCTCTGGTTACTAATTGGTCCAAGGCCTGGTGTCTTCCCTGCTTCATTTTTTAGCTCCCCCACACCAAAAGCTTTGTACCTAGATTTTTATTTTATTTTTTGTACACAGGATGTATAAGCCTATACAAATTCAGAAAAGTAGCAAAGAAAAGCAGTAATACAGGCCCATTTTGTGTGGGGGTTCCATTCCTGGCCCCCCAGTGTGTCGGCAGAGCGCACCTAATCCCGCTCCATCCCATTACACCCTGCCTTCATTATGCCCTGTTATGCCTCTGTTATGCCCTCTTTCGGGTCTAAAAGAACCCAAGCATCAGTGGTCACGCATCAATTGGGAACACACAAGAAGGCCGCTGCCTGTACTTCAAATGAAGGTGCAGCTCAGGGCAGAGGCCTTGGCATTGTGGGTGCCACACACTAGGATAATAGGTCTGCTAAAGCCCCTGGATATGTAGTTACATGTTATTGTACTAGTGTTCCTAGGGAATGGGGGCCACCATTTTCTTCCCATACCTAGCGATAGGTCACCAGGTAGCAAAACTCTGAAGGGTTGTGGGCCCATTTCTCAGGAGAGAAATGCCTTTAGCTGCCAAGAAACCACTTAAAATTTGAAAAGAAGAAGAAGAAGAAGAAGAAGAAGAAGAAGAAGAAGAAGAGAGCAAAAAGTATAATAGCCCTTGGTCCAACTTGTATTATTTATTAATTCAGTTTCTTTCCCACTCGGAAGGAACAAAGTTGCAAAACAGTTAGCAAGTAATGCAATCACCTTAACTGTAACCCCCAAACTAATGTCCATTTCTTCCTCCTGATAGTCTTCCCTACCAAACATCCTGAAGATTTCTGAAAAATGTTTACAGACAAATGGTTTCACAATTAAAAACTCCTGAGCAGAAAGCATAAAGGTGGAAATTTAGTTAATTAGTTACTGGCCAAGTTCATATCATTTGAACCATGCTAGGGAAACTTTTATGAACTTTTTGTTTAAGTCAAAGTGAGATTTAATATGCACAAATAATTCCTGGCAATAGATTTAAAATGGTAAGGCCCATTCCTCTGGGAAGTTCTGCAAGGCAACTTTCACTGAAATGAATGATTTTCCTTTCATTGCAGCAGAGAGGACTTCCCAGAAGATTGTGTCTTAAAATTGCAACTAACTTCCATTGACACATAATTTTAGACTTAAAAAAAAAATGCTGACAAGGAATAAACTCTGCTCATTTCATTCTGAAAATCCCCTTTTCATCTCTCCTGCCCCCCCTTCCTTGACTCTTTCCTTTGTAATGTCTGCATAAAACAGAACACAAAGGAAAAGCCACCAGGACAAAAGTAACTGTACTGCATTTTCATGTTCCACAAGCCTGTTTTATGTAATTATGCTCTAGTTTAAGACATTATTTATCACTTAAATTCAATTGCAAATACCCTAAGAGAAATTCACATGGAATTTATGTATTTTCCTCATTCAGTAGGAATGAGCAAAACCTGTAAATTGCATCCAACCAAATCGTTTTCCCTCAAACACATGAAGCACAATCAAACTTCCCCACTCTCCTCGCCCCCTAAATCTGTTCTGGGTAGGAACCCAATCCTCCAAAACAGATTTACAAGGTGTGCAGCAGCGCAAAGAGAAAGGTATGGATAGCTCCGTCAGTAGAGTATAAGGCTCTACAGATATCCCTGTATCTCTGTGACACTTAGTGATGTTTACTACCATACCTTACTGCTATGTATCATAACATGCCAATGCCCTTACATTTCAGTTTGAAAGATGGGGGCCCAAAACTGAAAACTGGTGACTAGAATACTATGAGTCAATGGCAAAGGAGGAACTTGAATAAAGGTGTCCCAAATTGACTACACCAGTCATGAATTCAAGGCTGTAGTCAAACCTGATTCTCTTTAGATGTTTCTGGACTGCAGGTCCCATCATTCATAGCCAACAGTCAAGCTGCCTGGGTCTGATGGGTGCTGTAGTCCAAAACATCAGGATGGCACCAGATATAAAATCATAAAGGCTGTACAATGGTGCCCCAGGTTAAGAACTTAATTCATTCTGGAGGTCCGTTCTTAACCTGAAACTGTTCTTAACCTACTACTTTAGCTAATGGGGCCTCCTGCTCCTGCTGTGCCACTGCCATGTGATTTCTGTTCTCATCCTGAAGCAAAGTTCTTAACCTGAGGTACTATTTATGGGTTAGCAGATTCTGTAACCTGAAGCGTCTGTAACCCGAGGTACCACTGTACTGTGCCAGTTTGCCTCTAATACACCCACAGAGATAGAGACACCCACAGCTTGAGGTGATAGAGAGCTGGACTAGGTAAAGGTGAAGGGACCCCTGACCATTAGGTCCAGTCGTGACCGACTCTGGGGTAGCAGCACTCATCTCGCTTTATTGGCCGAGGGAGCCGGTGTACAGCTTCCGGGTCATGTGGCCAGCATGACTAAGCCGCTTCTGGCGAACCAGAGCAGTGCACGGAAACGCCATTTACCTTCCCGCTATTTATGTACTTGCATTTTGACATGCTTTCAAACTGCTAGGTTGGCAGGAGCAGGGACTGAGCAACGGGAGCTCACCCCGTCACGGGGATTCGAACCGCCAACCTTCTGATCGGCAAGTCCTAGGCTCTGTGGTTTAACCCACAGCGCTACCCGCGTCCCTTAGAGAGCTGGACTACCTCTCCCCTTTTTCTGAAAGTAGATCAGGTTGATTGCTTTCCAAGCAGGGTTGGGCCATTATATTTTTCACCATGGAGGCCCATGCCAGAAATAATCCTGGCCCTGAAGGCCACATATTTTAAGTGCATGCAATTAAAATAATTTGTATTTTTTTAATTATAGCTCATCCAAATTATCTTGTAATGAGTGTGCTGCATTATTTCCACAATACTCTTAATTCTGAAACTGTTAGGCTTGATACAGAAATGCTGAAACCATTATCCCGCTCCCGTAAGGTTGACTGGCATACAAAAATGTGATGTGAACATCATTTCCAGCACTGGATCTGTGCACCCAGCTGCAAACATTGCTCAAAAACTGGTTGTGGGGCCCAAGAGACAATCACTGAATCAACTTGCCTGAGATGGGTGTGAACGTGTGGCAGTGGATCCAGCCCTTGTACCCCACCCAAAGGAAGACGGGTGTCAACCATTGAACTCCGCAGCTAGTTGCCCACACAATGCACAACATGCCTGTTTCTGAACTGATAACATTGTTGTTTAGTCATTATTGAAGTCTTCCTCCTAAATCCATCATTTCTATTGTAAAACCTCTTTAGAACGGCTACATTTGCATATGGGACTTTGGCTCACAAAAGACAGATGTCGCCAGCAGTTTGGTTACACAAAACTCTGGGAATCCATGTGGAAGCGAGAATAGCAGTGGAATAGGTAGGTGACACAATGGGATGCCTCAATGAGCCCAAGGAAGGTTGTTTCATCTGGAGGAAGCGAGGCTAGAATGCCATAACACTTCAGCGGCTTCATGAGGGAAAAGCCAGTAATGTTCTGAAGTGCAATAATTGCCAATTAAGGTACTCAAGTGTTTGCCTAGAATACTACAATAGGTTCGCTGCATATTCCATGCCTGAAGCCTACAGAGGCTCACTGTGCAAATGTACACCTTCCTCTTTTTTCATGCTCTATGAACATGGAGCTAATTTTAAAAATGTAGGTGCTACCAGCAGCTACCCTGTATTATGCATGTTTGATTTAAGGGGGCACTACTTCTCAGCAGCATGCCAATGACCAGTAATTGCTATTTCCTCTCAAACACATGAAGTGCACAGTGGCTTTTTGGCAGTGCATAATCAAAGAAGTTCAGCAGCTCTTTCGGAATATCACACTGTTAATAGCTAAGGGCTGCATGTTCTCAGAAGCTAGTACTTTCTTGTGCTAACCACATCACATCTTATTTATGGATGAACCTAAGTAAGCCACTGATGTGTTTATATACACCAGTAAAATCAAATCATTTCTCAAGTCTGAATGGCATTTTTAAAAAGCCGACGTAGCTGCTGTGAAAGTAATAATGTGTATTATTTTAAGCTCTCCTTTTGCCTGCTGCATTTACCATGCTTATAGCACAAACTTCACACTGCATTTAATGTGCAATTTATTTGCAAGAGCAGGCTCATATTAAGGAACACCTCATTTGCAGAAGCCATGCCATGGGTGTAGAAGGGAAGTTACTATTATGGCTGTTTAATATTCAAGCAATGTCAGAAATGTCCTAGACATGCAACAGCCAGAAAATCTGCAGGAGTCCTTGTTTAAAAAATCCCGAAGCTTAGGTCACTCTTTGTTCCACATTTTAAAAATCAAACCTTACATTTATTTCAATACTCTTTCATTCTACTTTCTATCCAAACCAGGTCCAGCAGTATTGTTGCTGATTGGCTATAGTTGGGAACCGGACAGAAGGCAGTTAATTGTGGTCAGGGCTCAGTTATGGATAACGACAGAACAGGCCCTCTGACCTAGAGGTTGAAACAGGATATGGGATGCAAACTCCCCTAATTTGTCAGGTTTGAAGGTCCTTGAACAAATGCTGTGGCTGGAAGTTCAAGACGTGACAATGAGCACCTCTTGACTGCCACTATTTTTGTGGGAAGGAATCAAATGCTTGCCAGAAATTTAGGTTTTTATAACTAAAGTGGATTAAATTGCCATGGCACCCTAACATAACAAACCCATTTTTAATTAAAAGAAAAGCTGGGAATAAAAACACTGTTGTAGTTAAGAAAGTACGGAGGAAACACACTGAAAAGTGTGGGGTGAACAAATGGGAAGATGTATAAACACCACACAAGAAAAATCAGGATGAATGCTTGTTTTATAGCCTCCCTGCAAAGAAACTGGGGTTGGATGCTCAGTTAAGACTGGGTACATTTCACTGAATTTTTGGAGCTGATTTTTATGTGTAATGTTAATTTGGATACTAAAAAGGATGATCTATTTAGTTGTTAATTGTGTTTTACAGAATGTAAAAAATTATTTGGTTTTTTTCCCTTGCTGTTTATTCTAACTTAGATTGAAAACTTGAGAGTTTTGTTTAAATAGGAGCAGTATATAAATCTTCAGCAGCAGCATCTAAACACTGCATAAACTTTATGTAAGCGAATCAAGATAAAGGATCAATAAACAGGTCATCTGGAGGAGCACTTTTCAGCTGCTGCAGCCAACAGCATTGATAAACGTCCCACCACAAGACCAGAGTTATGCTTCTGGTAAAAGGCCATATGCATTGCATGAGCCAAACCAAGCCAGAAGTTGGGGTTGCGTGACTTCCCATGTTTCATAGGCTAAGGAAATTGTGCAGAATAAGGAAATGGAGGAGTTGGAATGCATGATCTGGAAAGAAGGGCAAAAGTCCTTCCAGCAGAAACCGGAGACATAGAGGTTGATGACGGAATTTGTACACCAGCCCCGGAGATCTGCCACAGTATGGATATTATTGCTATGCTGCTTTCATTGTTTCCTTATTGTCCGTATTTGGAGAAGAACCGGAGCTCAGTGTTAAAGTAGAAGCCAGTGTGGCATAATGGTTAGAGTGTTGGACTAGGCCCTGGGAGAGCAGGGTTTGAATCCCCACCCAGCTGTGAAACTCACTGGGTGCCCCCATTGCTTGGCATCTCTGGTTAAAAGAATCATGTAGCAGAAGGAGCATGGGAATATTTATTATACTAAATCACACCACTGGTCCACTTAGCTCTGTATTTTCTATAGTGGCTCTCCAGAATTTCAGGCAGGGTTGTCTCCCAGTCCTAATTGGAGATGATGGGGATTGGACCTGGGGCCTTCTGCATGCAAAGCAGTGGTGTAGCTAGCTGCCCTGTACCCGGGGCAGCCTCGCTGCCGCCTCAGCTGTAGGGTGACTGAGGGTGGGGCAGTGGGCAGATGCAAGCCCCACACTGCTGTTTTGGGCAGCACAGAGCCTGCAGGTGCCCGAACCACCACGTCACTCCCAGGAGAGACATATAGCTCAGGTGCACTGCAGGACCTGTGGTAAGTACTACCCCCCCCCCCAGAGTGGTGCCTAGTGCCCCGTCCCCCTAGCTCCACCTCTGGTGCACAGCAGAAGCTCTGCTACTGAGCTACAGTCCTGGAGTGATGCTGTAGGGGGCAAAGAGTCTGTATAAGGCAATATAAGGCAACTTTCTACGGTCCATACTTTAGAAGCTTACATAGCCAAGTGTAAGGTGAGCCCCACCCATGATGTGATCAGGAATTGCTGCAGACAATTTTAAAGGGACTCATTCTGGAGAAAAAGATCAGGGAACTTAATTGCAGGCATGATTCCAGTTTGACTAGTCCTGGTTATTATCCTAAGCTTAAGATGCTTTGGCTTATTATAAAGAAGGAAACTCATAGATTGCCATTTACATACAGTGGTGCCTCGCAAGACGAAATTAATTCGTTCCGCGAGTTTTTTCGTCTTGCGGTTTTTTTCGTCTTGCGAAGCATGGTGTCGGAAAAGCTTTGGAAAAGCTTCAAAAATCACCAAAGTCTTCAAAAACCTCAAAAAAGGCTACCACACCGCATGCTATGAGTTGCTCCTCAAAGTCAAGTCGCAACTGTATTAACGGTTTTAAGAAAAAGGAAACAAACTTGCAAGACGTTTCCGTCTTGCGAAGCAAGCCCATAGGGAAAATCGTCTTGCGAAGCAACTCAAAAAACCAAAAACCCTTTCGTTTTGCGAGTTTTCCGTCTTGCGAGGCATTCGTCTTGCGAGGTACCACTGTATCAGAACTAAGGCAGCAGAAATGTCAAGCAGCAGATGCCTTGAGTTTCTTCCGAAATGTATAGCCTATAGACTCTTCCAAAGCAACAGAAAAATCAGCCACTTCTCAGTTAGCAAGGCCACCAAAATAATTTACTTTTAGTAAAAAGCTATCTTTTTTCCCTTTCTTTAATTTTACTTCTGTGTGGTATAAAGGATATTTCCCCCTATATGGCATAATTATAGCAAACACTTTCAGGGATCTATACCTTAACAGCACATACTTGGTAATACTGTATATTAAGCAACTATTGACTTGTGTTTTGAGTCAATTTCAAGAAGGAAATATTGTCTGTGGAGAAAAAAGGAAAATCAATATCTACCTTGAGGGTTATGCAGTCTTGATACTGACTTACTGCAGACATCAATCAATGCCTGCTACACTGTATCTGTTTTAAAGCTTTTGTCCTTAAAACAACAAAACTTCAGTAATGCCTACAAAGATTATCTTCATCAGATGCTTAAATCCACCAAGACACAAGTCCAGGTCTGTAATGCCCTGAATCTCATGTTGAGTTTATGTATAAATACCAGCCAAGTACTACCGCAGTGCCCCACAGGGTCCAATGCCAACCCAAGGTGAGTTGGGTAGATCAGGGTAGGGCAACTACTATTGCCATTAGAATGCGCAGTGTGCTGGCTGCCATTATTCTGAGGGTGGGATTCAATCACATCCCAAAAATATGAATTGGCACTCTTACCAGTGGAGGCTGGTCCATTAGGATGAATGGGGCATTGCCTCAACAACCTCCTGCATTCCTGTCTTCAGCACAACTAGTCCAAGGCACTGACTGTCAGCTTCCTCCTCCTCAGGCTCAGTAGAACTCAGCAGGGAGGATGGAGACAAGGCTAGAATTAGTGGGCTCCTCCTGCCATTGGCTTTGGCGCCACCTGCTGTTGGTCTCCCTGCCTTCTGCTCTACCAGTCCCAATGGACACTAGTCACCACTGCTTTCCCACAGAATCAAACTTCTGACTAGAAAATTCACTGGAAAGTGTGAAACAATAGCTTGACCTGATGTCATATAGCTTTGAAATCCACACCCTTCCAAATTTTGTAGTGCAGTTCTCCAATCAAGTGCCCAGATGCATTTAGTTGGTAAAGTATATACATCGGTGAAAATAACGCACAGAATGCATTTTACTGAGGAAAATTACATGCCAAAATGTGTATATTGGGAGACATTCACTAAAATACTGCTGGATTTTCATGAGCCCCCACTCCCCACTTAAAAAAAGTGGAGAACTGAACTTAAGAGTGAAAAACAACAACAAACAGGGTGAAAGAATTGACAGATTCACCTGTCCCTAAACTTGGCTTACACATTCTCCTCTGTTTCACCTCTGTCTGGCCCCATATAGGAGGAAAGTATCTTAGAAGCTAACTAATGGCACTGAAAAGTACACTGCTGCTGTTTTCTTTTTTTATGCTTTTACATTTCTTTACAGAAACTCACCTTCGAAAACCCTGGAGGCACAGAGCAGGGAAAAAGCTCACAACTGCAATCTCTGACAGTAAAATAATGTGAGAATTTACGATAAGTCTGAAAAATGATGACTCTGTCATTCCCAATACCATTCAGTGTGCAGGAGTCATCATTTTTCATTGAAGCCTTCAAGACAGCAGGTGTGAAACTTAGCGGGGAGAAACTTAGCATGTGGCATACTGCGATCATCTCCATGTTGGCGGTGGGAGGTGGGGGAAAGACATGGGCAATGTCACTTGTTGGAGGGTACAATTACATGGACTGGACAGCTGGTGCAAGCATTTACTGCCCAATCCATTTGCTCTTGGCAAATTAAACCTTTGCACTGCATTTTGCATATGACACGGAGACTCACTTGCAGTAGGACCACATTCAAACCATAGTTCAAGCCAGAGTTTTAAGGAGATCCCTATTCCTCACCCAGAGCTGCAGTTCAGTGTGGTTTAACAAACAATCCCTCTCCACAGGGATTCCAGCTCTGTGAGGGAATTAGGACAGAGTAGGGCTGTTGAGGCTGCGGCCTTGGAAAATGGGATGTGCTCTGTGCACTGTCCTGAGGGCCAGACTTAGAGACCTGGAGCACTTTAGTTGGCCTGAACGCTGCAGGGTGGAGCTTTCTCGCATTGCACACCAACGTTCTCATCTGCCACAATATCCCTCTTGCATTCAGCCCATAGAAGAGGCCTGATGAACTCCACAAGCTGTCCCTTTAATGTCAACTCTTGTCACAAACACAGAATGGAAATTATTGATTTCATCCTTGTAAACTCTTTAGAAGCCATTTTGTAAGCAAACATTGGATCAGGCCAACGGCCCATCTAGTCCAGCATCCTGTTCTCACTGATGCGCATGGAAAGTTTGCAACCTGAGCGCAAGAGCCCCTCTCCCCTCCTGTGTTTTCCAGCAACTGGTACCCAGAAGGGTTACTGCCTCAGACTGCAGAGCATAGCCATAGATAGCCTTACCCTCCACGAACAGATCCAATCCTCTTTTAAAGAATGCCCTCCAACATGCCTCCGATGAAAATAGGGACATCCCATTCCATAATGATAATTTAACTATTTATACCCCCCCCACACACACCTTATTTCGTTGCCCCAGTTCTCTGGGCAGGTTCCAACATACATAAAAACACAATAGAACTTTAAACATTTTTTTTAAAAAAAACCTTCCGTATACAGGATTGCCTTTGGGTGGCTCCAGGGGTTGGATAACTCCATAGCCTTGAATGAAAATAAGGACATCCTAAGGAAAAGTGGGACATTCTGAGATCAAATCAGAAACTGGGACGGCTTCTCAAAATCAGAGACATCCCTGGAAAACAGGGGCACTTGGAGGGTCTGTTACTGCTTTCTCTGGGAGTTTAACTCTAAGCTGCATGAAGAAGTTCAGTCATAGCTTGGTTCTCGAACGCCTTGGTACACATACGTTTTGGCTCCTGAACACTGAAAACCCAGAAGTAAGTGTTGTGGTTTTTGAACGTTCTTTGTAAGCCAAACGTCCAATGTGGCTTCCACAGCTTCCAATTGAGTGCAGGAAGCTCCTGCAGCCAATCGAAAGCTGTACCTTTGTTTTTGAATGGTTCCGGGAGTCAAACAGACTCCTGAAACGGATTAAGTTCGACAGCCAAGGTACCACTGTACTTGCTTTTCTGTGTCCTGAATCTTTCAACATAAATTAATAGATTAATGATAAAAAATGATAAATATAAATTAACCACCACACCACCTAAAAGGCCATCTTTTTCTAAAGAGATTTTGCCCTCTTGGCTTCTCTAAAATGAGTTGAGTGAGGAGTGATGGAAAGTAACCGAGAGCACCATGAAGGCTTTTTGCATCAGCACAGCTGTTTTCTTTCCGCTTTCCTTTCTCTTTCCCATTTAGAAAGAGATAGAAATTTCCTTGCCTGATTTTCTGTTAAACTGCTTCAGTAATAGGACTGGGATGAATTTTAATATAGACTTAGTCCCAGTATTCTCTCTCTCTCTCAATTTTTAAAATTTTTTTTTTAAAGAAGTAGCTGAGATGGGGAATGGCTGTTTTGCAATAGCTGAGAACTATTGCATTTTAGCTGAGGGAATTTAGAGTTAGAAATTTGAAATGAAATGTTTTAGTGCCACGGTTAAAATTCAGTAAGCACTCAATAAAACACGGAGCAGCTCCATTTTATTTTACATTTTATGGAAAGCTCTTTTCAATATATGTGGAAATATGAGTTGCATTTATATCAGTAATGGACAAATATTGCTTTCTAAAAAACAAACAAACAAAACTCCCTATGCATTTCATATTTCTGATCTTCTTTACCCCTTTTGGGAGGGGTAGGAT